ACCATTATACAATCAAACAGTACCACAATATATACAATCGAATAGTACCATGATACATACAATCGAATAGTACCATGATACATACAATCGAATAGTACCATAATATATACAATCGATTAGTACCATAATATATACAATAAAACAGTCCCATAATATATACAATCAAACAGTACCAAAATATGTACAATCAAATAGTACCATAATATACACAATCAAATAGTACCATAATATATACAATCAAATAGTATCACAATATATACAAATACTACTATAATATATACAAATTGTACCACAATATATACAAATACTACTATAATATGTACAAATAGTACCACAATATACACAAATAGTACCATATTTATTTACTTGACTGTTCCACTAAAAAGTGAAATACTCTTCTTTCTATCCAAATGTAAAACACAGTAATATATCTTTTCATCTCTCTATCCACCTGAAAGTGTAGTATTCATTTAATTGTCCAATTAAGTTTATTGTTAATTAACCTGTTATCCAAATATAACTTACGTTAGTCATTGATTTTATCGTCCATATTTAACTATCATAATGCTATCTGTTGAACTGTACAGTACATTCATTTATTTGTATTCTGGAAAGTACTTTATTCATCTATCTGACTATAAAACAGATTATTTATCTGTTTGTTCATCCTTCTCTGATATTTTACTATCTACCTATCTGTTTATTCTGTCAGAAAATTAAATGTATGTAACTACAGAAATGCATTATTTACTGTTCATTCAACTACATAGTAAGCTTGTTTATCTATCCATCATCTTGTCATGTTATTTGATCTCGCTTTTTGGTTGCTCCATTGACTAATGTATTATAAATAAGATGTTTCTGTTACCAGATTCGTAGATTAAAACTAGACTTGGAAGAGGAGAGGCAGAAGACAGCAAAAATGGAACAACTTACATTAGTACATGGTCCACAATCAAATGGTCCTGAAATGAAACTTCTTGAAGTCCAGAGTAAGTGAATCTCTTGTGTCGCTTAGATTGCAATTGTTTGATAAGTTAAACTGTGAAAGAATTTGAAATGTTTATTTTCATGCACTGAATATCAAACTTATAAAGAAAAAAAAAGTTATTTTACCTTTAAAATATATATGAGTGCTTGTTATGTCTTAGGAATAACAACGTGGAAAAGCTAACATTAGAAATATATATGCAAGTCCAATCGTGCCATTTTTTTGAGATTTTATATTACTCAAATAATGGAATATTGTTGACAAATTATTATTGTTGTTTTCTGTTAGACGTTTATTGACAACTCGATACTGTTCTCGTACAGCTTAAGAATTCACTTATAGATTGTGTAGATTCTCTTAAACATTAATTGGATTACTTCGTTATTCAAAAATGTGAGTGGAAGAAGCTGTTGATGGTTTCAGGCATCCTTCGATGTTATAAACCTGTGCATTTTATGTGGTCGTTCTAGTCTTTTTTTCTGTATTTGGGCAATTTATATAACTTACCATAGTAGCAGTACGAGTTATATTAGTACTAAATTGCTTGAGATTTGTTGTAATAAAGTGATCATTGATTTTTTTTAGAAACAGTTGATCAGAAGTGACTTTTAGTCTCGAATAAGATTTTCTTATTATTCTACACATTATTTAATGATTGAGTATTTTTTGTCTCTAATTTAAATTAGTTATGAAAGTTTATCTATGGTAGTTTCATTGTTAGGTGTTTTTGTCTAATAATAACTAATAAGTGTTAAATGTTTTTTTTATTTATCCAACTTTTAATTGGGTATTTTGGTCTAGTAATTGACAGTGATTTGTATTAACTGTTGGGTGTATTTTTAAGGAATTAAATATTTTTTTTTTAATAGGAGAAACTAATAAGCAAGTCAGTGACTATAAATTTAAACTGAAGAAGTTAGAGCAGGAGAATTCTACACTACTGTGTAGTGTGAGTATAGCTTTTTTTTAATGAATGAAATATCCAAAACTAGCTTGATCATTTTTTTATCATGAGTTCATGATACAACATTCAAGAAGAAATACATGTCCTTTGAGTCAGAATCATTAATACAGTTATGATATTGTAACTCAAGTGTTCTCAACCTTTATGCTACCAGGAACCCTTATTTGAAAATTAATTTGCTGTGGAACCCTATTGTACGCACATATATATAAGAGAAACACATTATATGTATTATGTTATTATTGCAGGTGAAATTGAAACATAAAATCAGATTAAGTATTAAATTTAATATATAAGTTTGAAGTTTTTAACTTTATAAAAAAAATATTTAAAAACAACCTCAATCTCCCCTCGTGTGAGAATTGAAACATCTTGTTCTCTAGTCATCGCCGCTTTAATTTATTTACCTCCTCTCAGAGAACTAAAATATTTGACATAAAATAGTCTCTATAATATCGTCTAGCTGACAGGATAGAAAATACCTGAATACATACCAACACGAAATTTGTACATACCAACACGAAATTTGTACATACCAACACGAAATATGTACATACTTACACAAAATATGTACATACCAACACGAAATATGTACATACCAACACGAAATATGTACATACCAACACGAAATATGTACATTACTAACACGAAATATGTACACACCAACACGAAATATGTACACACCAACACAAAATATGTACACACCAACACGAAATATGTACACACCACCACAAAATATGTACACACCAACACGAAATATGTACATTACTAACACGAAATATGTACACACCAACACAAAATATGTACACACCAACACAAAATATGTACATACCAACACGAAATATGTACATACTAATACAAAATATGTACACACCAACACAAAATATGTACATTACTAACACGAAATATGTACATTACTAACACGAAATATGTACATACCAACACAAAATATGTACATACTAACACAAAATATGTACATACTAACACAAAAGATGTACATACTAACACAAAAGATGTACATACTAACACAAAAGATGTACACACCAACACAAAAGATGTACACACCAACACAAAAGATGTACACACCAACACAAAAGATGTACATACCAACATGAAATATGTACATACCAACATG